GCAGCTGGTGGAGCTTGAACATGTTCAGGCAGCTGGTGGACCTTGAACATGTTCAGGCAGCTGGTGGACCTTGAACATGTTCATGCAGCTGGTTAAACCGGAAAATGTTCAGCCGTGACGGGGTGACCGCTCTTCAATATTCTTTAGTAGTTATTTTTAGTGGCAAAGTTGCTGCGCCATATCAACTCAGGGACAATTGAAACAACTTGCTTGCACCAGGGAGGCCGTCTAACTTGTGTTGTACGTATGATATGATTTATTGATGATACTTTATTATAAAGACCAGGTACTATAACAGTCAGGTGCAGGGTCCCGGTGTGTCACCCGTCAAGATGTGCTGTTACATTTCTCTGTCTTCACTGCCGCAATGTAAACATGCAAACATGCTGACGTGGTAGATATCCTGACACATACTTACGGGAGCCGCAATAAATATACATCGCGGTATTGACTGCTTTCACTTCAGTAATCAACATGCATCTTATTTAAGACCACAGGGCCTCCATAAATAAATTATAGGAAATTTCACAGGAATTATTGAATAGCCAAGTTAGAAATTATCGTTTTGAGCCTCGAACTACTGTTCACGTAAAAACGCCAGCAGTTGAATACGTCGTTCTTATAGATTACGTCGTTGAATACGTCTCACCAAAGATACAAAAAATGGAACTCAGTACTCACTGCAGTGAGTGACAGAGAGCGCATTTTCTCGCCGACGAAAACATGAAGTCATGGACGGACAGACAGACGGACATACAGACGGACAGACAGACGGACAGACGGACGGACGGACAGACAGACATGGCGAGCACAATAGTGCATTTATTTCATAAATGAGAAAATGCGCTAAAAATCAAACAGCGAAAAGAAAACATGTCAAGACAACGTAATGAGTATGCAAAATGATCTTACTAAAACTTTGCGCAAGCACGATTTTAGCACATGTCACTGAAAGTTCTATCAAACGCTTATGGCTACATCGATCTGTCTGATTTTTGGTGGAGAGATGCAGAAAAACATAGGGAACAAATCCAGACCTTCTAAAATTTTTTAACTCTATTTCTTTTCGGGTTACAGCCATTCAAAGTTAGGTATCGTTTTTTTAGACACCCTGTATGTGTGACTATCACAGTCTCCAATTTATTAAACTAGCCTATAGGTGCTTGTACTCGGGGATAGTGCAGACGGCTAGTAAATCTGGCTAGTGTCGGTCGCTTGGTGACTATCCGGCAAGTAAGCCTGTACACACGAGGAGAGTATAAGGTGCCGCTATCTTCTCGTTCGCGCCCGCCAGTGCGTCGTTAGAAGCCGTCGAGTGAGGTTTGTGAAGATGGATGATAGGATCACCTTCAACAACTCGAGTCTGTACGTCTTTTTTATACTCCATATTCTAGCCCNGTCAACCATATCAATCTCTAATCAAACTTACGCCGCGCTTCAATAATTTATGTGAATAATTCACGTGTTGCTCTTACTTGTCAAGTTGAGCTCAAGTTGGAAACTCATTGCAGGAAATTAAGGTAACAAATAATAATGACTAATTTGGGAGGAAACTTTAAAGTTTATACGGACTTTCCGACCTCAAAGTTGTGACATTTTATGCACTCAATTGTCGTGAGAAATTTAATTAACTTCAACTCAAGTAACTCTAGATAACTTAAGACGCAAGATCAAGTCTTATCACTCAAAAATCTTTTGGCGTCAAACAATCGAAAGGAAATATATTATATAACTTGAACATAAAGCGCGGATGAAATTCCAGGAAGCAATGGAAGAAATGAAACATTTCACTGAATGCAAATTAGTGCTATTTACATTGTAAAAATATCTTACACAACTAAATGACAGTAATTGAGTTAGCAACTAATTAAGTTAGTAACTAATTAAACGTCTTCTTAGAGAGCGCATTGTCCATCTGAGATTGTGGAATGTCCATATGTGTCCACGCATGGGCCGGGATGTCCATATGTGTCCCCGCATGTGCCAGGATGTCCATATGTGTCCCCGCATGTGCCGGGATGTCCATATGTGTCCCCGCATGTGCCTGCCGGGATGTCCATATGTGTCCCCGCATGTGCCGGGATGTCCATATGTGTCCCCGCATGTGCCGGGATGTCCATATGTGTCCCCGCATGTGCCGGGATGTCCATATGTGTCTGCGCTTGTGCGGGGATGTCCATATGTGTCCCCGCATGTGCCGGGATGTCCATATGTGTCCCCGCATGTGCCGGGATGTTCATATGTGTCCCCGCATGTGCCGGGATGTCCATATGTGTTCACCCATGTGCCGGGATGTTGTAAGGTCGTAAAACTTCATTTTTAATAAAAACTCTAATATTTTATAAAGAATCATGATAATCTGAACATGTTAAAAGTAATCATAATAATCTGAACGCGTGTCATCTGACTTGAGCTTCTGGTTCTACCATCGAGCCAATGGCAGAAATATTCATTCATTCTATCAATTTAGTATTATATATGACTGTCTAAATTCCCGTGATTAATGAAAAATTTCCCAAAAATTCCCAAGAAATTTCGGAATTTAAGTATTCGACGGGCCACTTCACGACGCGCGCTGTGGGGAATCTGGTGAGTTGAAACGCTAGCGTCAACTCTTCTATTCTATATCAATGTAAGTGAATTTTGCATTCTTCATTACGTCCTTTGGTAATATATTATTTTTAACGTGCTGTAATTAACGTAAAAATTGATGCTGTCACTCTAAAGATTTTGTTTCGAACTGTCTGAAGAAATTGCAATGAATTTGACTAAATTAGTTCATTTTGTTTGAACTCGTTAAGATTTGATGAAACCTGTCGTTACATTACGCTGATGAGGCTTTTGTAGCGTTATAAGCTTTCGAGCGCGTACCTGATCTAGGGTGGGATTCTTCCATATCATATAATCGCTGAATAAAATAACTTTAGTTATTGAACATATTGGACATGATATTCAATTGAGCAAAATATTCAAAAGCTGAATGATGTTTCCACGTCAAACTTGATTCAAAAGTTGCAATAAATTTTTTTCGCTTAAATAGCATGAAAAGTAAAATTTACAATTCTAGGGTAACATAAATAAATTCCATCACTCAGATGACTGACCAGTGCTCGAATGATTAAAGCATCAGATAGAGTCAATTATCACAGTACCAACGATTCAATTGTAACAATTTTGTTATTTATTCCTAACTAATCAATATTTTGCGATATTTTACCGGGAAAAGCTTTAGTAATTTGCACATATCGAGTTTTCTCTGCCGTGCGCTCGGGAGAACCTTGCGAGCATAAGAGCCCGGCGGTGATTGGTGGAGCGCGCGGACAATACACCAATGATGGCGGCGGTCTTTATTGACGCTTTTTTGTCTAGTACTCAATGGTTGAATTCACGTACATGTATATTCTACGAGTGAAAAGTATACGGATTCGAATTATAAATAGGTAAAATTATTAAAACAATAATGAGAATAATAGTATGGTAATAATAAAGGATCAACGTAAAAAGTTATGCTGTCATACCAATGACTTTCAATTGAATTATTAATGGAATTAATTCAGCATGACTTTATATCTTAGATCTTGGTTGACGTGCACACTTGTTTTCATTTCAAAAGTCATAACAAATTTTCGTTATATAAATTAATCGCGTGGGAAGGCAAGTTGGAACCCAAACCCAATCCAGCACACGAACATTTATTGCAACACTGAGAATATTTACAAACATTTGTATAATGATGCAAGTACATGAAGATAATATTAAATTGAGGGATGTAATTTAAATGTATATTAAATAAATGTGTTTAATATTGAATGATTGCACAGTTAGCCCCTAACTATAGATTCATTATAGATATAGATTCGCTTTAAAATAAAAACAAAACAACACCGACGGAAAGAACCCTGCTGGGGTTATATATAGGGTTGAAAGGGTCAGGTTGTCTCTGAGACTAATTAAGTTTGGGGTTAAGGGGCTCAAGTGGATGTGGATTTTGGGGATAATCCTTAATCCCTAATGGGTAATCCTCGCGAAATTTGCCCATGGCTCTTGCCATCTAGTTTGTTGATTGGGTTTCTTTGCAGTTTCCCTTAAAGATGAAATTGCGAGTGGTGTCCAATAGTGATTTTAGAGTTTTAGCCTCCACAACCGGTGTTTCTGACCTACGAATTTTAGAATCATTATATATTTTTAAACAGAAACCCAGTTTAAATGCTGCATTCAGTTCCTATCCTCTACACATTGTAAATAGATAGTACTTTCTCTACATGTCATCTCATTTTTATTTCTGTTATCTTCGATTTAAGTTCTAATGTCCTCAAGTTTAGGTGAATTGTTTGAATGTGAATTTTAGGTTACTAATTGCTTGCACCTGTGTTCTAGGTTTTGAACTGACGATGGAGCTGGACTCCGAAACGTTTTCTCTTATAAGAAATGGTGAAATTTTTGGCTATTTTCTTTGCTTTTAAATTCCTGGTAAATTTGCGACTTAAGCAGCCAAGTGATTTTAATACTAATATGATAGGTGATGTAGGTTCGCGGTAGATTAAAAATCCATTTTTTATGTGTCAGTAATTTTATGTCATGGAGTAGTAGGAATAGTTGAGTTTATGCTGAATTTCAACAGATCAACTACATGTTCAGTACATTGTTATATCAATCATTCCTTTCATAATTATTCCATGAATTCGAAAATTTTCCTTGGAAATAATAAAATTTTGAGCCCAACCGGGTAAATAAGTAACCGCATGAGGTATAATATAGGAGACTCTTCACAATTACATGAATAGCATCACCTAGCTGATGATTCTTGAAGTCTTTTGTAAAGAAGAATCGTAAAAATGTTTCACAAACTCAGAAAATAGTTCTTAGCATAATCATAAAATGGAAAGAACGATAAAAGTCTATATCTAAAAATTCTTAGCCGCATTTCACCAAAAAATGTTCAATTGAGCTGGAGTTGCTCTCAGCTGGGCACTGCGAGGTTCGGGGTGAATGCATGCGCTGTAGTGCGGTGATCATCTTCGGCTGATCATGTCTTCCTCGAGTTGGACGTTGATTGTCTGTCTAGTTCTAATTGTTGTCTTCTAATTCACATTAAACCTTAGCGATGCCAAACTTTAGTTAGCTTGTATAAGAATTGGTAAAATTTCACATGCACCCAAGGAGCGAATCAGCGCCTTGGTGTAGGCTTTCCATTTATAAAAATAATAATTTTACAATAATAAAGTTTTCATTCGTCAAGAAGGCTTCGCGATAAGACCGTGAACGCAGCCTTTGCGACGTAATCTTCAGTGGCCTTTTTATATACCTCCCACTGATATACCAAATCTATTAACTCTAAATTATTTTTCATTCTACATTTTAATGCAATAACCCATACATAAATTTTCACTGAATATATTAGAAATCATCTTATTTTTGGCATACTCAAATATCTTCAGCTTGCTGTGTATGTCTTCGACAATACGATTTTAACGTGCAATAAATTATTATAACAATCAAATCCGCTCTCAAACATCGATATGGATTTTTTAAAATAAGAGCGGCATAATAGGTTTCAGGTTCAGACGCTGCAATTTACATTTTTTTATGTCATTTTCTGCCAAAACAAAGGGAGTTTTATAGCTATGAAACAGTTTCCACGAATAAATGTCATATGCGAGAGTCTACGATCGGAATTCTACTACAAGTTTTTTACAAGAAAGAAACTTAAAAATTAAAAACATAATAAGAAGCAATGAATAATGAAGCATTTTGTAGATGACTTTATTTTGAAGCATTTTGAAGCATTTTGTAGATTACTACAACACAAAAAACGATAAGAGAGTCTCGATTGCAAGGGAGACTACTTTCTTGTGAGGGATGCACGCGTGGCTCAGTCAGGACTCTGGAGGCCGTCGCTGAGCCAGCGCTTCCCATTTGTAATTGTACAAATAGGCGAGACACTCTGGAAATTTCTGTAAATGTCCACCAAGTTTCAGACGCTCAAGAGTGCTTTATTTATAATAACTGAATATACACACATACGAACCTTTAACGTATTTTTAGGAAAAAAAGTCATATTAAATAGGTCAAATTTTTCGATCATTGCGACTATAGGATCGTTATTGGAACTGGAACGTTATTGTATCAATTGCTGGCAACATGCGATCTTCGTACTATAACTGCTTCTATTTTTATTTAATCTGAATAGTGGCACGGCAATTTCCTTATTTGTGTTGGATCGAATTCTGAAAGAATTTAGCATGTTAGCATGAGTAAATTAATCTAAGATAATCAGAAAGCTTGCTACATGTTCCAAATTTTAATAATAGAGCTATATAAATAACTAGGATTGGTGATGTAGGTTCGCAGTGCATTAATAGATAAAATTTTTTTTTTATTTGTCAAAGTTATTGTTTCTGTATAGAAATAGCTAGAATAGTTTAGTTTGTGCTGTATTTTGTTCTGTCAGCTGCATGTTCAGTATATTGCTATATCAATCATTAACATTAGATTAAAATACTATATATATTACTAAATTGAAGATATTATATTTTGGCGCCCTGACGGGTTGATATGAAACTGTGTTTGTAATCAGCATCTAAATGGTGATTGCACTCTGGGGCATGGACAGCATTAACTGATGATTATTTGAAAGCTTTTGTAAGGAAACGTCGTGAAAAATGTTTCACAAACTCAAAACAATGGTTCTTAGCTATTATAATAAAATGAGAAGAACGATAGAAGTTTATATCTCGAAAATCTTAGCCGCATTTCCCCCAATAATGTTCAATTGAGCTGGAGTTGCTTCTCCGATTTATTAAACTAGCCTATCCGTGAGAGAATTCGTTCCAGTTGACTTATGCACGGCATCGTCGCTCCCGTCCAGCAATGACGTAGTTATAGCGCTAGAAAACGTTTTCTATGAAGGAACAGTAGAAATTTTTTATGGTGTACTCTTTCAAAAATTACGGTAACGAGGAATCTCTGCCTCCGCTGATCAGAAATCTCAGTTCAGTCAGACAGGGTTTAATGAGTCATGTGCCTGCTTTCTGCTTGTTGTTTGGTGTTTAGTGATTTATATTTTCTTTTTTGGTTGTTAGGGGGTTTGATGCTTGCTCCGCATTCAGTATTAAGTATTAACCTTACCATGAGGCATCAGCCGTACCATTATCAATATCATCAGACAAGCCATCTCCTATGCGGTCAACCATATCAATCTCTAATCAAACTTACGCCGCGCTTCAATAATTTATGTGAATAATTCACGTGTTGCTCTTACTTGTCAAGTTGAGATCAAGTTGGAAACTCATTGCAGGAAATTAAGGCAACAAATAATAATGACTAATTTGGGAGGAAACTTTAAAGTTTATACGGACTTTCCGACCTCAAAGTTGTGACATTTTATGCACTCGATTGTCGTGTGAACTTTATTTAACTTCGACTCAAGTAACTCTAGATAACTTGAGACGCAAGATCAAGTGGTGTCACTCAAAAAACTTTTAGCGTCAAACCTTCGAAATGAAATATATTATTTAAGTTGAATATAAAGCGCATGTGAAATTCCAGGAAACATTTTACTGAGCACAAATTAGCGCTATTTACATTGTAAAGATATCATACACAACTAAGTGACATAAACAGTAATTACATTAGCAACTAATTAATTTAATAACTAATTAAACGTCTTCTTAGAGAGCTCATTGTGCATCTGAGATTCTGGAATGTCCATATGTGTCCCCGCATGTGCCGGGATGTCCATATGTGTCCACGCATGTGCCGGGATGTCCATATGTGTCCCCGCATGTGCCGGGATGTCCCATGTGCCGGGATGTCCATATGTGTCCACGCATGTGCCGGGATGTCCTTATGTGTCCACGCATGTGCCGGGATGTCCATATGTGTCCACGCACGTGCCGGGATGTCCATATGAGTCCCCGCATGTGCCGGGATGTCGTAAGGTCGGAAAACTTCATTTTTAATAAAAACTCTAATATTTTATAATGAATCATGATAATCTGAACGCGTGTCATCTGACTTGAGCATCTGGTTCTACCAACGAGCCAATGGCAGAAATATTCATGCATTCAATCAAATTTGTATTATATATGACAGGATAAATTTCCGTGATTAAAGAAAATATTTCCCAAAAATTCATAAGAAATTTCGGAATTTAAGTATTCGACGGGCCACTTCAAGACGCGCGCTGTGGGGAAGCTGATGAGTTTAAACGCTAGCGTCAACTCTTCTATTCTATGTCAATGTAAGTGAATTTTGTATTCTTCATTACGTCCTTTGGCAATATATTATTTTTGACTTGCTGTAATTAACATAAAAAGTGATGCTGTCACTCTAAAGATTTTGTTTCGAACTGTCGGATGAAATTGCAATGAATTTGGCTAAATTAGTTAATTTTGAACTCGTTAAGAATTGATGAAACTTGTCGTTACATTACTTGGATGAGGCTTGTGTCGCGCGGCACGATATTAATTAAGCGCTTGCCTAATTCAGGGTGGAAAACAACTGCACTTGACTTTTATTACCATTACAATACCTCCCAATATGGAACTTATGTCGTTCACATAACATCAAAGATGAATTTATGGCGGTGCAAGTCCAATTTTCAGATGTTAGGCTCTTGAATACTTTCTCTCAATTAGAAAGCAGTTGAAATGCATTCACAAACAAAATTAAAGTTTAAACAATTTCGGATGCACTACTTAATGCAGCATAATCTCACATCATGAGGCGGGTCCATATTAGTAGGTTACTTACGCTTATGTGCTTATTATTTGCACTTATGATGCAACCAGCTGAACATAAAGGAATAAATAAATGTCACAGAACACTATCAAATGGGCCACTGAATTAATTATTCTTTACGACGATCAAACTAAGTAACCCTGCAGCTGGATTCAGTAACATGACTGAATATAACAGACACGTAATGAATCATTTTACGGATTAAAGCTTTAATACGAATGTGTTGGCACCTGATACGTAGGCCATGTCGCCTAATAAGTGAGTTGTCATTATAACAGAATTGCCGACATCAGGCCAATGAGCTCAGCAGGTACAGTTTGGTCGCGTCTGCGAGATACGGGATGTAAAGGTTTAAAAGTCTTTGATGCGAGTCTAATTTTTTAGTTTTGGGCGCGAGAAAGCGTGTACGTCGCAAGTTGTGAGCCATTGAAATAGTCATGGAGTGAATTTAAGTGTAAGCAATTTGAACGGCGTATTCTGAGGTACTGAGGCGCGTCTGCCTGGGAAAACTCGGTAACCAAGATACGGAGGAACACGTGACTTCTGAACTGACGTGATGAGACAGACAGAACGAATACTGATTTAATCTACAGCAATTAACCGCCCTATAACGGCAGTATTTCGGACCAAAGATTTCATCACAAAAGGGAAATAGAAGGATTTTTTATAACGAATGATTCGCACCTGACCCATAGCTACTGAACACTATACGTTGGAAGTCCGCGTGCCATAAAATGGTTACATTACTTACTAGCCTATTCTTGCATCACGTCGTTCACACATAACTGCACGTGACTTGCCTCACAAAATTACGGAAATATGCACTTATGCTGCTAATATACTACATGTAGTTTATTCCAGGATAATATTGTATATGATCATGTTTTGTATATGATAATGTAGAAATTCGGCCAAAAGCATAAATACGCTGCAACTGAAAATTTGCCAATGAAACTTGCACGTATTTGTGGTGTTGAATAAAGCGACTTCAAGCGCGTACCAAAGTCAAGGGCGATATTCCTCATATATCGTCGCTAGAACGATCTTACAAAATTTATTTTCTACATATTTACGTATTTATAAATCATAACAGTGTATTTCAACGATGCACCGTGATATTATTACTGTATTTTATTTGTGAAAATTAAACTTTTACTTCAATAGAATCTAAATTAAAATATATCTCAAATTTTCTGTGATATTTTGTAGAACTATCATGTTTCAACATGAATATGATCTGAAAGTTGCTGTAATCTAAATATTTATTGCTCGACTAAATTAATAAGTTGAAATGTAAAATTTAGGATAACTGAAAAAAATTTCATCACTCGGATGATTGACCTGAGCTCATTGATCAAAGCATCAGATAGATTCAATTATCACAAAATCACAATATCAACGATTTTATCGAATCAGTTTTGTTAACTATTCCTAATTGATCAATATTTTGCGATATTTTACCGGAAAAAGCTGTATGAATTTGCATATATCGTGTTTGCTCTGCCGTGAGCTCGGGAGAAGCTTGCGAGCATAAGAGCCCGGCGGTGATTGGTGGAGAGCGCGGACAATACACCAATGATGGCGGCGGTCTCTATTGACGCTTTTTTTGTCTAGTGTTCAATGGTTGAATTCTTGTTCATGTATATTCTATGAATGGAAAAATATTCTAATTAAAAATAAGTACGACTTTGATAATAATTCAGGGAAACGAATACAACTGATGAACATTAACGGTTAGAAGAAGATGGCACGCGTTGCTAACTGGCGAAACGCTGCACCTGTCCGACCTCCAAGTTGCACACGATCACAGCAAGTTTTGGAGCTATCGGCCCACTGCGAGTGTATCGTTTCGGAATCCTATTCAATGATTTTCACTGGAAAAAAGCCTAGAAGTTAAAAACTTAAGAACAAGCTGTGAAGAATGAAGCATTCTGCAAGTGAATTTATTGCAAGATGTAATAGCCTGAGAATGTTCTCGGAACAAATTTTTCTATAGCATATCCTCGAAACCTTTCAACATAGAAAAACGAGACAAAAAATCGCGATTGCAAGGGAGACTACTTTCTTGTGAGGGCTGCACGCGTGGCTCAGTCAGGACTCTGGAGGCTGTGGCTGAGCCAGCGCTTCCCATTTGCAATTGTACAAATAGGCGAGACACTCTGGAAATTTAATGAAAATATCCATAAAAAACTGTTTGAGACGCTCAAGCATGTTTTAGTTATAATAACTGAATAACATTAACGCATTTTTAGAAGAAAAACTCATTTCCTTAAACAGCGTAAATTTTTTATAAATATGCCTATTGGATCGTTATTGGAACTCTGGAACGTTATTGGATCAATTGCTGGAAACATGCGATCTTCAAACTACAATTCCCTTTATTTTTCTTTAATCTGAATCGTGGCACGGCAATTTCCTTGCATGTGTTGGATCGAAGTCTGAAAAGAAATCTTGAATGAGAAAATTACCTTAAAATAATTTGAAAGTTAGCTACATGTTCCAAATGTTAATAATAAAGCTATGCTAATAAACTATAGTTGGTGATGTAGATTCGTTGTACATGCATTAATCTGATTTTTTTGTGTCTTATAGTCAAAGGATCTTCATCGTAGTAACAGGAATAGTTTAGTATGTGCTCAAATTGATCCAACACAGTGCTTGTTCAGTCAAGCGTTATCCATTCAAGCTCGAATTCTTCAATAGATTATTAGTATTTTTATGTCTAGAAAAATTTCTAATTTTTGCGCCCTAATGGGATAATAGTAGAGATATCAGTAGTTTGTTGAATCGTGATGATGGCTGGATCAGCAATTACCTGATGTGAACAGCATTAACTGATGATTATGATTATTTCAAAGCTTTTGTAAAAAAGCAATGTGTAAAATATTTCCCTGACTCTTGAAATGGTTCATAGCCATTATCGAAAATGCAACGAATTATGATCGTCTATATCTAAAAATTCTTAGCCGTATTTCAAACAAAAAATGTTCAATTGCGCTGGAGTTGCTCTCAGCTGGGCACTACGAGGTTCGGGGTGAATGCATGCGCTGTAGTGCGGTGATCATCTTCGGCTGATCAGGCGCGTTTCATGCGCATGTCTTCCTCGAGTAGGACGTTGATTGTCTGTCTAGTACTAATTTCCCTTCAGATGGTCACCTTAAACCTTAGTGACGCCAAGCTTCAGTTAAATTGAATAACAATTGATAAAATTTCGCATGCACCCAAGGAGCGAATCAGCGCACCACAGCGAAGGTAGTGTAGCCCTGCTGGATGCCTTGCTGCAACATCCTTAAGCCTAGGATGTTGCTCGACTCTTGTCGCACGTTTTCCATTTTCCTTTATCAAATTATACTCAATTTTTGAACTATTTTAAAGCAGTGGCAGCAAGATCACTTCTGAATGACTTTACTTCTGAATAACCATAACAATAATGATGAGATATCAGTGCGGCACATAGAATACCCTTGCTCATGTAGAGGCAAATCTGAGCTTTGATGTAGGCTATGGAGGACCTAATGCCTTTACATCATGCACAACAAACTGAATGTCGAGGTTCGCAGTAATTTTCATTTATCAATTCAAAGT